TAGTCGTCGACAACCAGCAAAAAGTACCGCTCACGGCCCTGTCCCTGGACGCGGGCTGGGCCCCACACGTCCAGGTGGAGCGTCTGCAGGGGAGCCTCTGTGGGAGGAAACGAGGAGGAGTGAGGAGCGGCGCGCTGCCGCCCCTCGACGCAGGGAATGCAGGGCGGCGCAGGCGAGGGAGGGAGGGCAGGCAGAGACCTGGGAAGCCCAGAGACTAGGGAGCGAGAGTGCATGCCACGAAGGCGAGGAAGGGAGGGGTGACCAAGGCGGTGGTGCCACAGAAGCGTGTCGTGCGACAGGCGGCGGCACTCACACTGGGTAGCTACCTGGGCAGACGCGTACAGCTGAGGAGACAAAGGAGTGGAGCGTGAAACAGTGGTGAGGGTGTACAGACTAGACCCCGGCTCACGAGTGAACGTGGCCAGGTGGCGGCCAGTCTTGGAGCACGTGCAGATCGCCACACGCTGCCCTCCAGGAGTCCAGGTGTCAACCCAGTGATCCTGGAGGACGGCGTTGCTCACCAGGTTCGTAGAGAACGAGGGAACGTGGAGACCTGACAGCTCACCAGACGGGACCGCCGGGCACGAGAGCACAGTCGTGGCTCGTGCAAGCACTGGGCCCCCAGAGGGGTCAGCCAGTGAGACAGGGACAGGTGCAGGGAGGGGAGTGACGGTGGTGCTATCGCGAAAGAAACAGCGGGAAGCACCAGAGTCAAGTGTAAACGTGTGCAAGGCCTGAGTCGACTCAGTACCACGGGGAGCAGACTCACTAGCACCTAGGGCTGCAGCCCTTATACCGGGGTCAATACCAGGATCAGGCGGCACACACAAGTAGCAGTCACCCTCAGCACTAACAGTCAATGCATACATAGCAGCAAGAATAACATCATAGTCCAGATCAAAGATAGGCACATCACGCCTAAGCAGCTCGGCCCAGTTGGGGAACTCAGTAGCATCAGGATACTTGGCACGCCAGGCGTCACTAAGCCTGGCAAAACAACGATACTCAGTGTGAAAACCGTTGCAGGGGCGACCCTTGCGGGGGCCAGTACGAATGACATAGGGGCAGCGGTCAGAACCCCGAGACGCCCCACGCCCAGCATACCAGTCATTGAGCTGCTGGGAGGTGAGGGGAGGAAGCTGCTGCTGCTGCTGTGGCTGCTGCTGCTGCTGGCCACCCTTCTGGCCAGATCCACCCCCACTCCCACCTCCACCGCCACTGCCGCTGCCTCCTCCCCCACCACCGCCGCCGCCGCCTCCACCGCCCCCGGTCCTGCCGCCACCCCACCCACCGCCTCCACCCCCACGTCCACCCCCACCACCTCCACCACCCCCGCCGCCTCCACCACCGCTCCCTCCACCGCCACCTCCGCCACCCCTGCCACCCTTGCCGCTCCTGCCACCACCACGCTTCCCACCAGGAGTGGAAGCCGCTGCGACCTTCTCCGCACCGAGGAAGTCGACAGCAGTAGCAGCAGAGGCGTAGGAGGGGTCAAGAGGGGAGGGGGAGCACCCCTCAAAGAGGGGAGTGCGGGGAGTGCCACGAGCAGCACCGACAGCGAGGATGTTCTTCTCTGCTGCGACCAGCTGCTGCTCGAAGTCGTCCAGAGTGATAGTTGGAGGATCCTTGGCAAGGAAGTAATCCCTGACAGAGCGAAGAGTGTCAGGGAGGCGGGTGACGAGGATGTAGAGGGTGAAGTACAGCGGGGGGGTGTTCGTGGCGAGGAACTCGGCGGTAAGAGCGGCTCGAAAGCGGGCGTCACTAGCGCGGAGGTGAGTGATAAGGTCGGCAGCAGTGTGAAACGAGGCTAAGTCTGGGAACAGGTATGGCAGGATGAGACTACCAACGGTGGCTGTGGCCGGGGCGGAATAGCGGGCAACGACAGCATCATACAGCGTCTTGGCAGTCTTAAGCTGGTTGAAATGCGCGCGCTCAGAGATCGGTAGGTGATTGCGAATAACAAGGCGTGCGACTGCGTCGCGGAGCTCCCACTGTGCTCGTTCAGGGGCAGGAGCAGTCTCAGCTGGAGTAGGGACAGTGCCAGTGACATAGGCTAGTAGTGATACTCCGTCTGCGACGTCAGTCATAAGGTAAAGTCGCAGATCACTAAGCCAGGTGTCAAACTCGATGGGGCGGCCGTCAGGCTCAAAAGCGAGAACAGTAAGGGTCGCCATGGTTGCAGCGCAGGCAAAAGTAGCTGGCTCAGGCAGCAGGCTCAGGCAGCAGGCTCAGGCAGTAGGCTCAGGTGCGCAAGGCAGACGGTAGAGGCGCAAGGCAGGCAAGAAAAAGACAGGGTAAACCCTAAACCCTGGCGGCAGGTACAGGCGGACGCAATGCACGGGGCAGCAATGCGCTGTACGAGAGGCAATCGCGACGTGCAGGGCCTAGGCGGGCCGCGCACGGACGGTAGGTGCAGCGCGCAGCGCTGGAGTGGGCCGCGCAGGCAGCAAATGCGACGCGCGGGGCGGAAAAGGGGCTGCGCGCGAGCAGCACATGCGACGCGCGGGCTGCAGACGGGCTGCGCGGGGCCTTAGCGGGCTGCGCGAGGCAGGGACGGGCCGCGCGCGAGCTATGCGGGCTCAGGGCGGGCTGCGCGGGCGACGGACGGGGCGCGACGCGGCTGGCAGCAGCAGTGCGCGCTAAAAAAAAGGCGTGCGCGCGCAGCCGAGGCGCGCGCGGGCAGCAGGCTAGGCAGACCAAAAGGCACGGCAGGTAGGCAGGCCGTTGGTGAGGTAACTTAGTAACTGGTGGGCCCTTAAACTTAGGTCCTAAGAACCTGCTCTGATACCATGTCGAGATAGCTAGGCAAGGTGGTTCGATTGACGAGAGAGTTTGGTACATGACACACAACCCTAAAGTGTTATCCCCTATAACATCTACCCCACTACAGCCTACCAATATATATCACACATATATATCATTTGACAGGTCATTGTAAACTGTCCTCATGCTAAGGGAGAGGTACTGCAACGCAGTGCACGCTGTGAAGAGGGCATCTGCACCTTCATACGTCAACCCTTTCTTGAAACCGTTGCTCAGGTCAAGATGAGTTAACCCGGGACAGGCAACTCCTAGGCCACGGATGAACTCGTCATTATCAGGGTCGATAACGCACTTTGTCAGAGGTCCACTGGAGATCCCCGATGATCCTAGGGAAGGGTTACAGGCACGTCGGCCTGGGGGGTTATGGGCGCACTCACCCGCTATGTAAACAAGCCCTTTTATCCCAGTGGTTAGTGGCTGGGATTCTGACATGGTATCAGAGCGAAGGTCTCGGGTTCGATTCCCGGTGTGTGCACTTCGGGCATCCCAGTGCGGGGGGGTGTCAGAGGTCCACTGGAGATCCCCGATGATCCTAGGGAAGGGTTACAGGCACGTCGGCCTGGGGGGTTATGGGCGCACTCACCCGCTATGTAAACAAGCCCTTTTATCCCAGTGGTTAGTGGCTGGGATTCTGACACACTTGTATATCGTCAGAGAGGTCAATCTTTCGAACCGGGAAAGAGTGTTTAGAAGGCCAGCATCTACAGTAACGTAAGGTGGACTATTGACAATGGACGTCTGTGCAAGGTAAGCGAGGCGATTCCAACGTTTACAGACCAGCGCATGATTGAAGTAGCTCGGTGACTGCTGGTTCAGACAACGGAAGATGAGGCAAATGGGGCCGTCCGGAAGCTGATCAAACGATGCTCGCAACATGTCTCTAACGCGATGCGATACGAGGCTTGGAGACGATAGATTTCTAGTATCTACAATCTCTATTCCACGGTCTTATGTACTACAAGTGTTTTGCAGTCGACAGTGCAAGTTTGTGTGTGATTGGTTGGCGAGTTGTGAAGTTTGAAGAGGGGTGAAGCGAGGGGTACGAAACGAATCCAAATCGCTAGAAGGTTTCCAACCCAACCAAAGAGAAATTCGCCTGCACTAACAAGGTAACCTATCTTCAACTGCTTTGCAGTTGATGGCTGCTTTGCTTACTTGAGACCCTGGCTTTAAAGTCGGAAGGTAAGAAACAAACGCAGGACCTAGAGAGGTGGACTTGCGTGAATGGCGTCGGCTGAGAGCTTTTGTACATCAGAGAGCAATCCTGTCTGGCTTGAGTCGAGACCTGGCTAATTAGATATGGAAGGCTAGGTTTCGCTGTCTGGATCTGCTCGAAGGGGAGGGGAATCTCTTCGAGGGCTCAGCAAGAAGGGCTTGGAGCAGAATGGACTTTGACACAGCTTTCGAGGGCTGAGCAGAAGGGCTTGGGCGCTGCAACGTGCATGTTCAGCGAACCGTCGTGACAAGCTCACGGTTCGCGTCATGACGAAGGGTCAACGATAGGTCGACACGTGGAGCGCGACAAGTGTAACGTCGTCAACATCAAACCTCGTGCATCACAATCAGTTACCTAGTCCCACATCGATTCCAATCATCGCGTCAGTTCGCAAGGGACGTCCCTCGGCTGAAACGGGCTCTCGGTTGCTGCCTGACTGAAGTGGCGAAATCCATCCAGCGTCGGGGCTGCCAATAAAGGTGCAGAACTGAATCGTATCCCACCCCAAGCACCAACTGTAATAGTCACTGCTTAATGTCGGAGAAGATAATAGCGGATGTGAATCACGGTCATGCTCGGACGTGGTTACCCGATCATGTGCATGCAGGCTTCATTGCCATCCGCCTCGACGAAGCCCCCGCTCACTCCCTGAAATGTGTTTAGCAGATCTAGCAGATCTAGCCGTCTCGTTTTTCTATCATCCCAGGCTGTCGCCTCCGGTAGGCTTTCTTGTAGGCCTTCTTTGCAGTTGGCATTGAATCTTGCTTCGGATAATCAGGTTAGAAATCCCGGTTCAATATCCCAGCTAGCGTCAGCATTTCCCTTCCCCTATTCCCCCCCCCCCCCCCCTTCCCCCGCCCCCCCCCCCCCCCCCCCCCCCCCCCCCCCCCCCCCCCCCCCTCTCCACTTCCTCCCCGCTTCGACTTCCTTCCCCCCTCTTCCCCTCGGTTCCGCCGTCCAGGCGACGCCTTGGCGATTCGTACAGCATTGGCCCGTCATCTCGTGCGTGCTCGGCATTGCCACGTCATTCGGCCACCATGACGTGTCAAGCTGCCACATGCAACGCTCAAGTCCTGGTGGTTTGACTGTGCCTCAACTGAATAAGATTCTCATTTTCTGGTGTAAGTTGTGCGTATGTGTGTTGCCGAGCCGACTTTTGTGCTGATGCTTTTGTGACTGTATTGAAGTTGAACTCACTGCTTCCATGTTGACTCACCGCCTGATTGCTGACCTTGACGCACCGTTTGCCAGCAATGGCGTGTGTTTTGATGATGTTGATTCTAAAGCACCGAGTCTCGAATCAGACTTAAGTACTTTCGGCCACCCACTTCTCTCTTCGGCTTCCCTGCGTGCATCTGTCTCCAAAGATCCACACCCGCTCTCCGTCCCGCTGCATAGCAGCATGTCTCCCAGACGCGCCTGTCATTCAAGGCCGCACAACACCGCTTTCAACCACCGCACATCCAGCAGTACGCCCACTTTCTGCATCCGCTTTCTTCCCATGTATGCTCTTTCCTTTACTTCCCAGCTCACTTAGTTCCTTCGCCTCCCATCCTCTGTATTCCTTCTCCATGCATTATCTAAAAAACTCCTGGCCGTTGGATTGAACCGCCTTGGACGCCATTCAAGTGTGGATATACGGCAATAACTGCTCTCTTCCCCTTTCCCTCCGCTTATCTCCTCTGCCCCACTTTCTCCCGTTCCACCCATGTTACCCCGATCTGCTCCCATCAGACAATCGTTTCTGAGCCTGCAGCTGCCAATCAGCACGAGTTTCTCCAGCGGCAGCAGCAGCTGCAGTGCCTTCAGCAGCGGAAATGGCAGCATCAGGGGCGCATCTCTCGCCTCGTGCTCCTCCTTTCTGCGCCCAGGTGCTGTGTGAGCCTGTAGAACCTGCTGCAGCGGGCAGCGCTGAGGGCAGAGCAGAGCGCAGAGCAGAGACGGGAGTAGAGGGCAGAACAATGGCACGGGGGCTTACAGACGAGGGGCATGGATATTAGAGCTCATGCAAGGAGTGGCTTTTGGCGTTGAGTCTGGTTTGAGTTTGCGGCCCGGGCAATTTGCCTTGTTCCGCTGCCTCGGTCGGGTCCGCTCGGAGAAGTGCCTTGGAAGGTTGTGAAAGGAAGTGTTGGGGTTTGGTTCCAGAGGCCGGTCTTGAGCTTGCTAGGGCGCTGGGGTGCTGGGGCGCTGGGGTGTACTAGTTAGTTACCTTCGTTACAGAGTCATCTCAACTCAGGTTGGGTTGGGGTCATAACAAAAACAAGCGCGAACGTGTTAGGTCGTTGCTTGGATCTCGAATCTCTCATTGCGAGCTGTTACCATGTCATGCGAGCCAGTCTGACACAATCATTCAGAGTTCACCCATCCAGCTGTGCCATACCAGCTACTTTCCCAAGTCACCTATGCCAAAGCTCACGCCACTCAAAGACTTCTAAGTTCTGACTTGATGCCATCCCAACCCCGGTCGTCACCCACCTGCCAGCTCGTATCTGTAGGGACTTCCCAATTCCACGCCACCCACGCTGCTTGCCATACGTGAGTGGGTTATGTAGATATCGCTTGTACTGAACTCCCTTGATCTCAGTTCACCCACTCAACACCTTATCATGCACTTCCCCAGGTGAGTCACGTTTAAACCCATTCTAAGCTTTGAAGGTCGCTGGATCTTCTCTTATCCTCGTGTCCCGTGCGCCCAGCAACACCTGGAATGCTATCCTCTTTGGGGCCCTCAAAATGTCTAAAACACCGCGCAGAGGGGAAGCGGTCCTTCACTTTCCGTGCACCCAGAGACACCTGGACTGTCCTTGCAGGTTCACGTGTTGATTCTTCGCACGTCATTCAGCCATGGCATGGCGTGTCAAGCTGTCAAGAAAGTCGTGACGCCGCATCTTCCATTGGTCTGCTTTTCTTGTTTCGCGTGACTTCTAGTTTTATATTCTTACACATTTCCCCATTCCCATTTGCTCCTTGCCTCATTATCCTCTGCCTTTTACCCGAAACCTTACAGTTCATTTCCCGTTCCCCTGTCCCCATTACCCACTCCCCCATCCCTTCCCCCTAGTCTCTGCCCTTTTTTCCTGCCCCTTTCCCTTTCCCCTCTGCGTTCCCTATCCCCTCTGTCCTTTTCGCATTTCCCATTCCCGTCTTTAACATTTTCCCGTTCCCCTCACCACTCCGTCCCCTCCTCCCCCCCCCCCCCACCCCCCCCTATTCCCCCCTTTTCCCTGTTCCCATCACCCATTTCCTCATTTCTCCTTTCCATGTCACATTCTCTTTTGCCCATTTTCCCATTCCCCACTTCCCCAGAGACAAAGCAGTGGCGATTGCTGTATGGTCGACGGAAGGCGAACATCGGCTGAAATGAGTGGAGGTATGTCATCCCATGTGCTGTGTCATCATCCCATGTGCTGTGTCATCATCCCATGTGCCGTGTCATCATCCCATGTGCCGTGTCATCATCCCATGTGCCGTGTGACCCGTGTCTTCATCCCATGTGCCGTGTCTTAATCCCATGTGCCATATCATCACCCCATGTGTCGTGTAATCGTCCCCCATGTGCTGTGTCATTGGAAGATGCGATGTCTCATGATTCCATGTGTCCTTTTACCATCCCATGTATCGTGTCACCTGTCATTGTCGTCACCATAATATTAACCACCATTAGCCTCCATGAATCATTGTCTCATCAATCCATGTGTTGTCATCCTTTCCCACCCTCCCCACTATTCAGCACCGTCAATTACATCAACCAGTCGCACCACATGGGGGCCTTTTCAGCCAATTTCATGCCTGAACTGAATGCCACCTATCAGGCGGCCGATTGGCTCACCAATGGGACGGGGCAAGACTCGCCGCCAGCCACACCTTGGACGAGCTCCCTGTAAGGCGTGTGACCGTTTTGCCACATGGTTACTGAAGAGTCTGCCTCTGTTTGACTGTAACTGTCATATAAATATGATTCTTTAGGGGTTTGGGGCTGAGCAGAGCGGCACGGGATATGGTAAAGCACGCAGGACAGAGCAGAGCAGTGTATAGCTGACGAAGACATATGGATGGCGTTGTGGCCATTTATCTCTTGGATAAAAGTCACGCCTTAATGCACTCATCGTACTCCCTGCGGATGCTTTCTCACTTGTTTAGCCGTCAACATGTTCTCTGGAGCAAGGTTCAGCCCATCTCTTGACCTTTCAGCATTTCCTCTCTCAATCTCCACACACCACGCATCCCCTCTCATTTACCCTTCCCCTTACCAACCACTGGAGTGACCAGCTGTAGGTGGACACAGCAGCACCATCACAAGACGCCAGCATGCGATACATGATGGACCAGCAGTCTCATTTGAGGCACGTCAGAGAATTCATTCTTGTTTTTATCGCTGCCTTGCTGTCACACGGCCTCTGCATCCGCCTTTCCTCTCAGCCCCCCTTCCCTTGACCACCCACTACAGTGACAAATTGCAGGGGGATACAGCATTGCAGCACAAGGCGCCAGCATGAGATGCATGATTGACCAGCAGCCTCATTTGAGGCACATCATAAGATTCCTTCCTCTTTTCAATCTGCCTTGCTGTCACACACCCACCTCACTGTGCAGCGTTTCACCCTTTCACTCTCATGCCACTTCCTGATATTATTTGATTTGATGACGAGGCTTGGGTTTGCACCCTGTGTGGCCTGTCAGGGTGTGGGCTGCTGGTGAGGGCAGTCAGCAGCACGGATGCAGCACCATGGCAGCATGTGCAGCAGGCATTGCAGCATGCAGTGCAGCAGGCAGTGCAGCAGGCAGTGTAGCCACACAGCTTCCAGCTCCACTCGTGCAACATGGTGTCCTGATGGGCAGCTAGAATTGTAACATCTTACGTTATCAAACATTGTGGAGGAGAAAGCGTTCGAGCATGCTCGGTACCTGATCATCATTTATAGTGACTGCAGTAGGAACTGATTTCGAGCTCAGAGGAGACATAATGACCTCATGAAAAAGTCGGAGGTGTCTAGAGAGAATTGCTTAGCAAGCCAGCACTATACTGGCGGATTTATCTTAAGTAATAGTGTATGATTAAACTAACCGAGATCATTTGTACTGAAGCCATGAAGAGCAAATGTCAACAGATCCATACCATATGTACCGGTACAAGTGAAGCGATTAGAAACAGCAAGGAAAACAAGGTGAAATGCTCACACCAGGGCCTATGTTATCAGGATAATTTATCCTGATTCTCCTGAATTCAGGATAGGTGTCGTGTGCTTCTCCTGAAAAAACAGCATAAGGGAATATCTTGTCCTGTAAAATCAGTATAATGGTTATATTGCGTACTGAAACTTCAGGATAACCTTGTAGGTTCGGCCCTGACGACTCAGGATAGTGTCGAATCTCGCCCTGAAGCGAGATGTACTGTACCAAAAATCTCACAGGTTTCGGGGCCCATAAGTGTCCTAGGGCGAGTACCCCGAACAAACCTCTCGGGGGCAGCGGGAATCGAGCTGGATACCTCTTGCGTAACAGACTGGCACCTCACCCACTACCACACTTCAAGTGGGATTGGAGAATAAATAACTACAGGTATTGCTCAGACTAGCATTGAATGTAGAGAGCATTTCGATCCCGCTAACATAACACGCGCGAAATGTACAGGGCTGTACGAAATGTAGCACTGAACTGCCAGGATACAGTCAAATTTCACACTGACATTTCAGGATACCCCACCCTGTGCAGCTCAGGGCTCTGGATATCAGACAAATTTCGTCTGATTGTCTGATTTTCAGACACGATTTTTCATGTTCATATGATTTTTCAGACAATTAATTTATGCTCATATGATTCTCAAGAGAAGGCATTTTTCTTCATCTGAAAAAAAAGACGAAGAGCTTATTACTTGTCTGAGTACCCAGATAACGTGCATACTTACGTCCTGAGAGATTTTAGCGGCAGCGCTAGGTAGCCTAGTCCTGAGAGATTTTCTCGCTTCTTCGATTCTTCGCACAGTGGTCAGAGTTCGACTCTTCGCACAGTGTACGATTTTTCCGACCCTCCTTGAAATCAAAGGGAATTTTGTCTAGAAACTCAGACAAGTGGTTACAATTTCGTCTGGAAAATCAGACCATCCAAAATTGCTCATATTTCTTTCAGACAATTTTTTTTCTAGTACTATCCTTACAGACGGGGCAAAATCCTAGCCAGAGCCCTGGTGCAGCCCTGAAAATTCAGGGCAATTTCTGATTTCCTAAAAACTGCCCTGAGGCCTCAGTGTACCCCCAAACCAATCTGAGGGTACGTTCCTTGCGCGTGTCAAACTTCCGGCCAAACTTCGTGTTTTCCGAGCCAGGGGCAAATTTTTTTGGGAAGACCCGAAGTGGGGCGAGCTGTGGGGCGAGCTTCGTGTCATCCCGGGAACACCGGAAGTTTGACACTGGCCAGGAACGTACCCTGAGGGCCTGGCTCACACCAGCACAGGCAGGGAAGCTGGCTTCTCTCAATCTAGCTAAGCATAGTCTCTCCTCAATCTGATCCTTCACACACAAACCAGAGATCAACTCCAGCTAGACACTCTCCTCGCCTACACACTGAAAAGTTGGGTCCCGCGGCACTCTCTAGAAGCAGCACCAGACGAACACTCCCTGGTCACCGCCACCCTGATCAACCACTGCTGTGCCTTCTCCTCCATGCACCTTTACTTCCCACCTTCTATCCGCCATTCTGCCTGCTCCCATGAAAAGTGATGCACCGCACTGTTCCACCCAATCACCATTCCACAAATTAGCTTCACGTGTCACATCAACCATTCCCATGTCTCGTCCGCGCCTGCCAAATGCCTCTTGTACCACATCTGCCATTCCACCCAATGCTCGGGCCAGAAATGATTATGAAATCTCCAAGATACAATGAGCTGGGTAACGGGGAGGGATGAAAAGAGAGAGAGCAAAATGTGTGATACACCAAAGCATCACACATGGCAGCAATGCATCACACATGGCAGCAATGCATCACACATGGCAGCATCACACATGGCAGCAATGCATCACACATGGCAGCAATGCACCACACATGGCAGCAATGCATCACACATGGCAGCAATGCATCACACATGGCAGCAATGCATCACACATGGCAGCAATGCATCACACATGGCAGCAATGCATCACACATGGCAGCAATGCATTGCACATGGCAGCAATGTATCACACATGGCACGAATGCATGCATCACACATGGCAGCAATGCACCACACATGGCAGCAATGCACCACACATGGCAGCCACACATCACACTCCACACCAGCGCATCTCACCCTGCCAAAAAGCGAAAAACTTTCCAATACGCACTGCATCAACACACCCTGCCCCACGCCATTCCAGCAATCCCCACTGTATGCAACCCCATCCAGCCTCACCGGGTCTCCAGGCCAGAGCTGTCAGCCCTCCTTCTCACCCGTCCAGTCCAATCCTCCCTTTCCTTAGCGATCTTCCGTCGATGCATCCACTCTCCAGACATTCATAATTGGCGATCTCGTCTGTCTCATCCTCAAAAAGTGGGCACGCCAGAATTCTAAGGCTCTTGAGGTGGTAGACCATCAAACTGGAAGGCAACGATTGCAGATCGGGCCAGGAACATAGAGTCAGCTGCTGCAGGCGAGTAAGTTCGTACAAGTCATCAGGGAGTGTAGTCAGACGTGGAAACCCAAACAGGAGGAGCGTTGAAAGGTTTCTAAGCCTGCAAACGGACGACATGAAACCGTCAACGAAGCATGTATCACGCTCTGCATCCCCAGCCGGGCAGCTGGTTGGCCATCCAAACTCAAGAGAGGTCAGGCTCGTTTCCCAATTTCGAAGCAGGGATCGCGGAATACTGGTGACGCTGTTGCAGTAATTGAAGGAAAACGTTCGAACGTTGGAGAGGCTGGAGAGGGAATCAGGAAGGCGAGTGAGGCTACTGAGTTGGCACAGCTCCAAATGCCCTAACGATGACATGCGATCCATGCCCTCTGGAAGATTCCTTAGTTCGGAGCAAGCTCTAATCACCAAGAGCCGGAGCTTAGTAAGGTTTTGAAGAGGAAGCGAGTTCAGATTCCTGCAACTCCTGATGCTGAGGCTCTCGAGCAAAACGAAATCAGAAATGGGGAAACGTTGTACCTCATCAAACTTGGTTAGCTCGAGAACACGTATCGAAGTAAGCAAGAAAAAGGAATCCGGGAGCCTGGAAAGTGACGAGTTGCCAATCAAGGAGCACTCCTGAAGGTTCTGAAGGCGACCAATGCTGTCAGGAAGATCCTCCAGCTGGTCTGCATGAGATATGATGAGTTTGACCAGAGAACGAAGGCCTCCAAAGGACTCGGGCAGATGGCGAAATTCTTTGCAGCGTGAAATTTGCAGCTCAGTCAGCCCAGTGAGAAGCCCAAAAGATTCTGGGAGCTCGGAGAACTGAAGCATGTCGAACGTCAGCTTCTTCAAGCATCTCAGCTTGCCGAACTCATCTGGAAGGCTTGCAAAGTTGACTTGAAAATATACCTCCGTTAGCGAAGACAGACCGAAGAAGGATGGTGGGAGATCATGGTCACATGAATTAAAGGCCAGCGAGAGATGCTGTAACTCAGTGCAAGCAGTAAATACTGCATCCAGAGCACTCCGAAACAAAGCGGCGTCCTGCGGGTTCCCGAGGTCGAGCCGAGTCAACTTGGGACAAGCAGATCCGAGGCCGCGGAGAAACTCGCACTCGTCATCGATAAAGCATCTGAGTATTGTTAGAGAAGTCAGATTTGGAAACTTCGACAAGGATCTAAGAAGGCCGGCATCTGCTTGAATCACGTTAGTAGAAAGGTCGTCGTCTTCTCGAATCACGAGAGCCGCACTAGGACGCATGTAGATCGACGACTGGGAAAGATAAGCG